CTTATCTTATCTTATCTTATCTTATCTTATCTTATCTTATCTTATCTTATCTTATCTTATCTTATCTTATCTTATCTTATCTTATCTTATCTTATCTTATATGCACCTGCCTAATTTTGTTTAAATAACTATTGCACACCTTCTTTAAATCCTATAATCATCATGTCACTTCTCAAATATCATTGTGTTCATCTGCTATATGATATATTTAAATTAAATTGCTCATCCAAACAACCAATGATTTAAAAAGACAAATCATTAAAATGATCAGGGGTGCCCAAACCTTTGCGTACCACTGTTTGGTAAATTCTCACATGTGATGACAGCCAGATCAACCAAAAACTCAGAAACTAGATGTTTACGTTCTCCCAGTTTGTACTGCTGACAGTAATAAAACCCAACATCCTCATCTGTGAGCTTCTTTATAAGCACAGAACAGTTTGCTGTAACACTCAGTCTGTCTGATTTCATTTGGGCTTTTTTACCAATCTCTCCAAAGGTGATCACTTCTGTTGCTGTTGTGTTTTTTGAAGCAAAGGTCCACGTAGTCCCATCACAGTTATTCTGGTCCTCTATCACATTTAGACAAGGTAGAGTGACGTCATCTCCAACTTTAATAAAAATCGAGGTTTCAGTTGCAGATACTGTTGAAAAGATGGAGGAGAAACATAAAAATAAATAAAAATAGAATACAGCATTTTTTAGAATCGGATTGAAGACCAATTTAGACACAAGTTAACGAACATGTCCTGAGCTCCCCTCAAACAACAGAGCATGCTCAGCAGTTTACTGTAAAGGTGTTTTCCTGCTATTAAAATGTTTCCCGAATTCTTACCTGCAATCTGAATCACCAGCATCAGACATAAAAACATTTTAATCCATATGAATTCATCCATCGTGCTTCTCTGTCTCATTTCTTTTCTTGACTGTCAACGTTTCTGAACTGATGACTATTTAAGACTGTTTGTACTTCCTGTCACTACTGAGGTGTCACATCCTCTTCACAACTTTAGCAGTTTTCTTTTCATGTTTACATTCCATAGGTGCAGTCTTTCTCATTTTCTCAGAAACGCATGAAGTAATTTGTTTTTATGAAGGGATATTATTGCACAAAGCGATTATAAGACTTACCAAGTGCACATTGTGTCTGTTTTCAGAGTGCATTTGTGACAGTGATGTGTTTAATAACCTGAAAAGACGTTGACCGAGGAAGCTGAATCTGTGAAGATTGTTAGTCAAGATAAATGTTTCCATTAATACAGCCCCTCTTTCCTCTAATGTTAGAAAACAGACAGCACAGCAGAACAGACAGTTGTAGTCCCAAAAATACAGTTCAGGTTGTTTACAAGTTAGTTCATTAACAATTAATAAAACAAGAAATAAAAGCTGTTCATAAATCCATACATGATTTTAAACACCTGCTCAGACCTGTAGTTTACAAGTGAGTGGGCCGAGTGGATGGCCTACTGAAAGACTGAGGACCTCTGGTGGATAGAATGGGTAATACATGAATAGAAGTGCTCAGAGCTAAACTGTGACACTTAGAAACTGTGTTCTGCACAAGCAGGGTGCGACAACACAAAATGTCATCAATTAAAAAGAATATCAGTCAGATATTTCACTACAATAGATTCCTAAAAACAGTCTGCTTTGATGTCTCTGAAGGTTCTCAGTCATCCAGGTCATCGTAGTCTAAAGAGCTTGGAAAGAAAAGCATCTGGACTTCTTTAAGTTGTTTGAAGACGTTTCACCTCTCATCCGAGAAGCTTCTTCAGTTCTAGGGTCAAATGGTGGAGCTTCACCCCTGATCAGATTTGCACACTGTTAGACCTCTGCCTTACCACCACATATTTCAAATACAACGAGGGTTTTTAGAGACAATAACATAGATGTGCCATGGGCTCCCTGGTGTTACCTATTGTAGCCAACCTTTACACTGAGGAAGTGGAAAGAAAGGCTCTTGGCTCTTTTAAAGTGAGAGTACCCAGCCACTGGTACAGATTCGTGGACGACACCTGGTTCAAAATCAAAACCCAAGAAGTGGAATCCTTCACTGCTCACATTAACGCTGTGGATAAAAACATAAAGTTGACCAGGGAAGACACAAAGGATAACAGTAACGTGGCACACAGCGTGGAAAAAGGCACGTACCTTTGACGTTGCGTGATGAACTCCGTATTCCTCGTCCACACGTCAACGCAAAAACTGAGATTTTGCGGAGATTTAAAAAATCTCTGTTTTTGGGGATTTGAAACACCGTTTAAGTGTTGAAAAAATTGTCATATAGGCTTTTACAAGTCAACGAGCGCAAAAAAACAACAACTTAAAAGCCTCTGGAATTAAATAATGGTACAGAAATAATGCCTCATCTGCATAAGAAAAATTACCAGCACTGGGTCAGTACGAGGAAAATTTCTTTTGCAGTTCATCTCAAATTATGCACTTGCGCTTTGGGATCTTTTAAACATCCTTAGGCGCGTTGCTGCGCACCGTCTGTCCCGTCTGTGAGCACAGAACAAGCGCTTACAAAGCAGCAGTTTGGGGATGACTTCAAACACATGGGTCCCTGTCGGACTATAGGAAAACCCGGACATTTTCATCAATCTCCAAAATCCCCCCGGACGCCCCGGACAGAACGTGAAAAGTGGACATGTCTGGGGAAAAGAGGACGGTTGGTCACCCTAGGAAACCTCAACATTGAAGTTTACTGAAAGCCCACACACACGGACCAGTACCTCGTCTTTGACTCCCATCACCCTCTGGAGCACAAACCTGGAGTAATCAGGACCCTACAACACTGAATGTAAAATGTTCCCTCTAAGCCTGAAGGGAAAAAGAGGGAACACATATGAAGGTGGCTCTTAAAACATGCGGTTATCCTAATTGGGCTTTCATCAAGTCAGCAAAGATGCACAGAAAAGAAGATCAGACACCAACTAGGGAGGATCAGAAAGACAAACGCAACAACATTGTCATCCCCTATGTAGCCGGTGTATCAGAGAAACTCAGGAGAGTCTTCTCCAAGCACAACATCCCAGTGTCCTTCAGGCCCAGCAACACACTCAGACACTGGGACACTTCCACAGGGCTTAAATCTGGGACTATCAACCATTTGACCATAGAACTGAAGAAGCTTCTCGGATGAGAGGTGAAACGTCTTCAAGCAACTTAAAGAAGTTGAGTGTCCTATGCCTAAGACCCTCTTTTACCCACATCTACAAATCTCTTTACAGGGAATCCATTGACCCTGTTCAGCCCAGTAATCTTGCTCTATGCACAAGTGTTAATGTATAAAGTATTGAATAAAGGATTAATTAGAAGAAAATTACACCAAAACTGAATAGAAATACATTTTAATTTATGATTACTATATCACGAGCAACAATATTGATGCAGATTCTGTCATTTATCAAAACCAACATCCTTTTATAAAAAATGAAATGAAAATTTAAATACACGTCTAGACTGAAGTAAAAAAAAGAACCAATCGTTTTTAGTAAAATTACTTTAGCATCTGTTTTATATCTAACATTTAACCAATTATAAAAGTTGATACTGATGACTGAACAGCAACTGGAATTGATTTTGATGATGATCATTGCAGTCAGATGGAAGTAGCAGAGTCTCCAATATTTTCAGACTTTATTGTAACATGATCTTCTTTGTTATCAAAATGTACCTGTAGAAAAAAAAACCCCCAAACAAACCAAAACCAAAATAAGATGCATCAGATCATAAATTATGTAATAATGATAAATACATTGTTGTAATTATCTTTAGTTTCCATTATAAATCTTTTCTCTTCTTTTGTGTTTTTGAATATTTGGTCCTTTTCTCAGTGTTTTCCGCCAATCTGTGCTTTATTGTTTGTTTGGTATCTATTGTTTCTTCAGTTAGTCAGTTACTTCCTGTTTTATTTTGAAGGCTGATTTATCACGTGCCTTTTTGTGCCTTTTTCTACCTTTCTTTATTCCTCTTCCTATCGTGTGGACGTTGTAAGTTTCCTTTGTCCTTTTCTCCTGTTGAATACTATTTTCACTCAATTTTGTTCTCCTTATATTGTGTCTAGCTTTTTACTTTTCCGCTACCACTGAGCAGCCTTTTTTTGTTAACTTGCAATTTCTAGTTCAAGTTGTTGAGTTTAGTTTAGTTGTACTTACTGTGGTTTTATCCATCAGTGTTTTGTTCCCTAAAATGAGAGAAGGAAGTCAATTCCAGTTTAAAATAAAAATGAAAATTTATTCAAACTTATCATTTTTAAATTTACCTTTAACTTCTATCCATATTTTGACTGTTACAGCAGTTATTAAAAGTGTTGCTAAACCCACAGAGACAACAATGGGCCTCAAAGAAACAGAAAAATCTGTAAAAAGGATTAAAAAAAGATTTTGGTTGCAGTTTCCTGTTTAGTGCAAATGTCTTAAAATATGTCTTAAAATAATCCATCCATCCATTCGCTTCCACTTATCCTTTTCAGGGTCGCGGGGGCGCTGGAGCCTATCCCAGCTGTCATAGGGCGAGAGGCAGGGTACACCCTGGACAGGTCGCCAGTCTGTCGCAGGGCCAACACACAGGGACAGACAACCATTCGCACTCACTTTCACTCGCACATTCACACCTAGTGGCAATTTGGATTATCCAATTAACCTATCCCCACAAGTTGCATGTCTTTGGACTTCAAAAACTTGAAATCCATCCAGTAAATGATTATGAGCTCACCTGTGTCTTGGCCAGAGCGCTGATTGCTGATGAAGGTAAACTGCTGCACTTCTCCTGTGCCAGTATCAGTCACTTCACATTTCACTGAGTTATATTTTAATGAGTATAATTCATGGGATTTTGGAAAAGACACAGTGGTGGAGCAGTCAGTCTGCATGGTCAATACTTCTTTGTTCTCTTTGTCCACATCTTGACTGTCAATCAGCCACTTCACTGTGTGATGACACTCTTCATATGGCAGCACAGAGCAGCTTAAAATTGCCTTACTATTGTCTTTATGTTCATTCACTGGTGAAGATGGAGATAATGTGAGAGAAAGAAATTAAACAACCACATTGCTGGAATCTTTATGCCTGAAGTTTCAGTTTGAGCAGACAATATTTTTTTTAAGTGTAAATACTCACAAGTAATAAGAGAGAGATCAACCACCAACTGATGAAGTAGAGAGTGTTGCGCTTGTTTTTTCCCCAACTTGTATTGCTGACAAAAATAAAGACCAACATCCTCAGCTGTGAGCTTCTTTATAACCAGAGAACAGTTTACAGCAACACTCAGTCTGTCTGATTTAGATTTGGCATATTCACCAATTTCCCCAAACCTGAACAGCTCTGCTGTTGGTTTGTTTCTTGAAGCAAAGGCCCACATTGTATTGTTACAGGTATTCTGGTCATCCATCGCATTCAGACAAAGAAGAGTGACGTCATCTCCGAGTTTCATAACAATGGATGTTACATTTGCAGTTCTTGCTGACAGGATTGGAGAGAAATAAGAAAATAAGTTAAATACAAAAGTTGTTTTTTTTTTAAAGAAAAAGAATTAAGATAGTTTAGACACAATATTATGCACGTGTCCAACACTCTTTTTTGTAGAACAATGCTTTTTTATGCCACACATATTTCTTTTTCCAAAAGCAGCACTGTAGACCCTGTGTAGGCGCCTAGTGTTATTTTTTCCTTTATTTCTTTTACTTTCTTATATTATTCATATAATTATCCTTGTGGGTATTATGCTAAAGTGGGCAGGGAGTGAAGACCAGGTTGGCAAAAGATGGGAAAAGAAAATGAAGGAATAGAAAAAAAATAAGGGACAGAAGGGTTAGGGGGAAACCCTGAAGGGAAACAAAAGGGGGATAGTTAGATAGGGAAACGTCGATGATGAAGCAAACATCAGCACTTGCTGTGTCTCCAAGTGCTGCATCTGTAACAAAATACAAAATATCAAACCTGAAAGACAAAACAGAGAAAGGTACACAAGCAAACATGTCATTTTGCTGTGTGTTTAGGTGGGTGGGAAACTGCAACAATGCTCGCCTATAAGAGCCCCAGGTGGGCAGAGAATGACTGAGGAAACCCCAGACCTGAGGCCACATATCAGGATGATGTGCGTCCACCCCAGAAGGAGGAGGCCATGGTGGAGTTTGCATAGCCAAGAGCAGCAGTGTCAGGGAACCGGAAGCAGCAGGCAAACCTCCCACCACAGAAGCCTTAAAGAGGGATAAGTATGGGTCTGCCTGACTCACACAGCCCAAGAGTACAGGCATACCATGGTATTGTTTGCTGTGCACTATTTATAATAATGAAGTGGATTACTGTGCAGTAGATGAAAACATAGCACAAATTTGATTACAAATATGAGTCTGAGAGAAGGCGACTGATTCAGAACCTTAGTAAAATGGAAGTTAAAGAGGAACGCATTTGGCTTCCATGCAAAAAGAATTGAAAAAGTGAAAAATATTCTGACAATTGCGAAAATGGAAAACGTTTTCATATTTGGCTGGGCTGGTTGTCTTTGAGGACAAGTGACAAAAGATCTCGTGAAGAGCCATAAAGACACCTGGTATAAAACAGTATAAAAATCTGCCAGAAAATCTGAATAAGCAAGTAATTTAAAGTAGCAGTTTTTTTTTTGTTTTTTGTTTTTTTTGAGAAACACTCTACACATATCTTATTTACCTTAAGACACATATGAAACCCACACTGTGGGCTTGGGTGGGGTTAGGTCTGGGCACACCTGAGGCTAGCACCATGGAAAATGTATACAGTTATGTATCTGACAATGACCAAAACACTTCTCCAAGGCAACAAAAGAGTTTGCTGAACTTCAGTCCTACTGACAATCTGTAGAGAGAGCTGGAGCTTTGAGTTGCCCAGCAGCAGCCAAGAAACAAAGGATTTAGAGAGTGTGTATAAAGAGAAGTGGGCCAAAATCCCTCCTGATAAATTTAGATTTATGTGTATTTACATGTTTGAGGCTCTATGTAAAAAAGAAAAATATAAAAATAGTTAAAAGAAATAATTAAATCACGAGTGGCCTCCCCAGACTCTGGACAAGCAGTGTGGGATCATCTTGACAGAAAACAGAGCAAAAGGCAGTCACCATCCAAAGAAGAGTTTTGAATGTCTTTCAAGAAGCCTGGAGAAATATTTCAAAAATTTGCAAGAAAGCTTGTCTAAGAGAGTTTAGGCTGTGTGGTAGAATAAAGGTCGTCATATAAAATTGTGTTTTGCTGCACATATTTCCCATGGAAAGTGACTAAATAAACAAGTACCTAGAAAATGATGAAACAAAGAGGCACACGAAAACTAAACTATTACATACCAAGACTAAGAAAAAGATCACCACAACAATAAACACGGTCCAAAACTCCATAAACCAAAACAGCGCCCAACAACCTTACCTGTAATCTGAATCAGCAGCAATGCAAACATTTGAATCCATATGAATTCATCCATTGTGGTTCTCTGTCTCACTTCTTTCTTGTTCTTAATCTTGATGGGGCTGCATCCGATGGCTCTTTAAGATCATTTGTGTTTCCTGTGATTAGTGAGATGTCACTTCCCTGATGTTAACACACCAATAGTGCAACACATTTCAAAAGCATAAAGTTATTTTTAACAGGTGCATGTTGTTTCCGTTCCCTCAGTGATGTGTTTGACACCACGAAGAATTAAAAATGACTGAGGAGGCTGAATGTGTGCGTGTGCATCAATGCAGCTTCCTTTAATTTTTAAAAGAGTCTATTAGAAAAAAGAAAGTACAGAGGAAAGGCAACGCACTTTAAAAAACATTCATCTTCTAAAACTTATCAGGGTTTGGTTCGTCGGAGCAAAAGTGTCAGCAGAGAAGACGACTTCCTTCATCCTGGCCCCGCTCCGGTTCATTTAGTTGCTCCCAAGATAGCCAAGCAATATAATCTTTTTACTGTGTCCTGGGTCTGCTCCAGAACCTCCTCCTGCTAGAACATGCTCAGAATACTTCACCCTGGAGGCATCCAGCCATCCTAGACAGTTGCCATGTTGTCATGTTTTTTATAAAGTGGCTAATTTTGGGAAATTGATTTGAACATAACATGAAAATATGTAAGTAACAAAATGAAAAATGACATGTACATATAACAGGTAACTGTGTGCCTTGTAAGTGTGCTTTTTCAGTTTTTCTGGTTTGTTTTTGTTTTATCTTAATAAACAAAATAACACAAACAAAAATGTTTTAATATTTTTCATCTGTTTTTTTTAATCTTCTTCATGATCTCACCTGCCTCTTCATGTGCTGAGGGGTGAAGGTAGACAGTGGCACTTCCTGTGTTAGTTATAGTCATTTCACACTTGAATAAGTGACATGCTGGAGAGTATAAATAAACAGTCACTCATTTCTCATCACAGTCTAAGGACACTCTTTATATAGCTCAAGATAAACCAGCTTGAAATCATCGTATCATTGCCCTTATGTTGAACCCTTGGTAAAAAATAATCTAATTTATTGTTATTATTATTACTATGTTTTTAGTTTCTTGTTAATCCATTTATCAGATGAAGAAAGGTGAACATTGTTTCATTTCCTGCTGTGTGTTTGTGGCAATAACGTGTTTGACATCTTCAAAAATAAGATGACCGATGAAGTTGAATGTGTGAAAACTGTCAGTCAAAATAAATATCAACAGTTCCTCTTTCTGTTACCACCTTATATTAGAATATAAATAAAATGAAGTAGAAAAGAACAGAAAGACTTATTACTGTGAACTAAAGGGGATGTGTCTTACAACAGCAGTAGAGGCCTGCACATTTGAGCTTTTGAAAATGACCATATGAACACCCTAAACAAGAATAGTTAACACGCTGATGATCTAACTGAGTCATCTCCAGTTATGCTGAGCCACAGTACTTATCTTGACTATATTCTTTTCTTTAAATTAAATTTTATTTTTTGGTGGAGCTTTTCAAAAGGATGTAAATTTTATGCCATAAAGCTGGGAAAAGTTATAGTGCTAACCAGGTTTGATTCACACCAGTGTGACTGCTGTGTGTTTCTATATTAACACCACAGACATCAGGTGCTTTTTTCATACTGTCTGATGATGTTCATGACTTTTTTTTTAGAACTACAGTTGGTGTTTATTTCTGGCAAAAAACCCAACTTTGTTTATTTTTTATTTTCTTTTTGTAGTGTATTGAAGTTCCTTGAAAACAAACAATCACACGAAAACCTTAAAACTGAACACAAATACATTTTATTTGGAGATTACATTACATACAGATAAATCCCAAAGTGGTGCGAGATCAATAATTAAATATATCTTCAGTCAAACTGAAAGGAAAATAGTTTGTAACACACAGCCAATTGTTCATATTAAATAACCTTATTACTTGTTTTAACCCTGTAACACCCAACTCGTCAAAAAAAAAAAAAAAGCCAGAAAATTCTGATTTTTTTGTTTTATTATTTTGTGTATTAACCCTTATAACACAATCCTTTTTTTGCTACATCATGTTGTTTGTTATATATTTTTATGATATATTATTTGTTGCATCACATTTAATACATTAGGCATTTTTAGCAAGTTTTTTTAGACAATTTTAGACAAAAAACATAGTTTTGTTCATTACATTTTGAAATTATGGCAAGTATTGATCATGTTGATGAGATAGCAGTCTCAGAAACTCATGTAGCAAATATGATGCAAATGGCATTATAGGGTTAAGGATGTGACCTATAAAGCAAGATGAGATGATACTGATAATATAACAGCAGTTTTTCTGTTGAGTTGATGTCGATCAGCACAATTTGATAGAAACAGCAGAGATTCGGATGCTTATTATTTTTTGAAACTTAATCCCCTTCTTTATTAAAATGCACCTGCAGAAAATAACCAAATAAAATACAATAAAATAAAATGCATAAGATGTGAGATTAAGACAAATAATCTTGTAATAATGGTTTTGTAATTATCTCTGGTTTAAGTTGTAATTGTTAGTTTCCTCTTCCTGTTTTAAAGTTCTGTTCCTTGTTTGCCTAATCTGTATCTCACTGTTTGTCTTTGTAATTCTATTATTTTCTTCTTTTTTTTTCATCCGGTTAATTTGTGTTTTATTTTGAAGGTTAGTTTTGTGTGTAGCTTGCTGGGTAAGAACCGCACCTTTTGCATTTTAAACTTCTGAACCTCAGTCCTCTGCTGAATCAACATTTAGTACAAGAAATCTAAAGTAATCTCAGCATAATCACTTGCAGTGATATCAAGTATATCAAACATTAGAAACTCAACATTCAGGTTTTTAAGCTTTTATACTGCATTACTGAGTTATGCACTTACGGCAACTTTATCCATCTGTGTTTTATTCCCAAAAATGAGAGAAGAAAGTCAATTTCAGTTACAAGTGAAATTTCTAAATCTTTAACTTTACATGATTAAATTAAATTTACCTTTAGTTCTTGTCCATGTGTTGACTGTCACAGCAGCTATTGAAAGTGCTGCTAAGCCCACAGAGACAATAATGAACCTCGAAGATACAGAAAAATCTGTAAAAAGAATGAAAACTTATATTTATTAAAATAATTTGGGTACAGTTTTCAGTTATTTTTAAATTCCTTTACTTTAAAGTAAGGTACCAAGTCTATGGACCCATATTTGTCTCAGTCTGAAGGTGAGGAGTAACTACTGGATGTTGCATGCAGTTAGCTAGCTATTAGGTAGTATCTGCTTGTGGATTACTTTGGCAGTTTCTTGAAGCTGTCCAGGCTAAATTTCAGCTGAGGAAGGACCAGACAATGCGTAACACCATCCTCAGACATGATATGCAGCTAGCTCTCCCAGGCCCGCCATTTCTTTGCCTATTGCCAAGACAATACACTCACTGCTGGAATGGGGGCACCACCAGTGAGGCCACAGCCTACGGATACAGTTCCACACGTGGTGGCTTGGAGCGAAGGTCCAACTACAGGCCTCCAGAGGGACCTGCCCCCAAGAGAAAGAAGCCTCAATCCTCCTAGCAGTGAGATTGAGAGGAGATGGCCTTGAGTGGCTGTGTGAATGTGCGCATATTGTTCTGAAACAACTGCAAATCCTAAGCCTACAGGTCAAATGCTTTGTGTACATTACAAGTCAGGCAGCGGATGCCTTTTACCACAGATACAATGGGATAACAATGCCTCACCTAAAGTGCTGCACGTCAATCAGCTAGCTGTTCACCTTTCTCTGCAAGCATTGCCAAGCATGCTCCTTTATGCCTTTCTCTAAGTGGAAATGATTACACCAGTTGCAGACAGAGCTGCAGGACCTTTCTCTGATTGCAGTGGCCCCTCAGTGACCAGCAAAGCAGTGGTAAACAGAGATAATCAGTCTGTTGGCAGCAAGCCCCTGGCAGCTTCCTCTCTGCAGGGACCTGCTCTCTCAGGTTAGCCTCTGAGTTTTTGCGACCCTCCCTTCACATCTTAGAAGCTGAAGATGGAGTCCTCTGTGTCAAGCCTATTTACTACATAACAACATTGACCACATTTAGAATACATGTTTATGCGACCAGTTGCTTCCCTGCTTTGTTAATCTAGAGCCCTGTTTAAATAGAGGCTCATTCACTAGATTATGAAGGTTATCTCACTGGCCTAGAGCACCAGATTTTGCTTTCCCACAGGTTATAAAAGCAAACTCTACTAGGAGAATATCAGCCTCAAGGGACTTTTTAAAGGGAGAGATGCTTGTACAACAGCTATTTTGCCTTTGTTGTACACCTTTGTTCAGTTCTATCGTTTGGACATGACATATATATTGTACATATATTGTACTTGGTTTTTGTTACTTTTGTGCCACCTTGAAAAAACATTAAAGACAAAAAAACAAAAATAAAGATCTAAATAAGCAATGTGTTTGATGATTTTAGTAGTAAACAGTTTATCATGATGTTACCTGTTTCCTCAACTGCCAAGATCTGATGCTTGAAGGTGAACTGCTGCATTTTTCCTGTGTCAGTATCCGTTACTTCACACACTATGTTATATCTTGATGGGTAAATATTGTGAGACTCCAGAAAGGACAGAGTGGTGGAGCAGTCAGTTTGTGCAATCCGTGTTTGTTTGTTGTCTTTGTCCACATATTGACCCTTAATCTGCCACTTCACTGTGTGATGACACTCGTCAGATGTCGACACAGAGCAGGTTAAAATGACCTGATCCGTGTCCTCATGTTCAGTTACTGTCAAACATAATTTGTGACAAAAACGGCACAAATTAGTCATGTTATTTTGATAACTTGTACTGTTGTGAAATCTGTTTATGTTGTCCTAGTAAGGCTACTATGGGGGCAGCCACTAGAGGTTGCTAGAATACGGGTGTGTATATGTGTTTTCCAGAAATTGATGTAGCCACGTACACTGCTGCTACAATTCAATAAAAAGCGGTTCGTGCTTGAGAACCCTGCGTCTTATTGCCTCCGATCATGACCTGGTGTCAGAATTGAGAACTTCACGCCGAGTTACACGAAGAAATGGCTAAATTTGGACCCCCGGAGCCGTTCGACTTTACACAGCCAGCAGAGTGGCCGATATGGCGGCAGAGATTCTCCCGTTTTCGAGTGGCGTCCAAGCTAGGGATGGAGAGCGGCGAAGTGCAGGTGACTCGCTTCTTTACTCCATGGGGAGAGATGCTGAACCAATATATGGCTCATTTGTGTTTCCTGCTGCTACG